AAATTAAGAAAACACTCTACCTGCTGCGCAACTGAGTGACCATAAAGTCCAGCATAAGTTTCAGCAACAACTTTACTATTCCAAGCTCGCTTCTGTAGAGCCTCTTGGCTACCTCATCTCTTCAACTGAAATAAAGCCTCTACTTGGACTGCAAAGTAATAAGGTTTTATTTAGCATAACCAGTCCCAGAAATAATGTAAGTAGGAAAAATTTAAAAAAAAAAAAAAAACAGGGGTGAGGACTCACCTGGGATTCCATTTTTCAGAATCGTTTTAGAATGGTTGGATCCTGACAAAATTGTTTTCTTGGAAAAAAATCAAAAGTTAAGTTGAATTTTATATTTTGAGGTCAAAGAAGATCAGCTACCACATTTCCATGAATAATAAACTGTTTACCACCACCACAAGTCCACTAATGTTAGTCATAGGGTTCTGTTTTTCTCGTTTTCATTTTGATTTTTGGTTTTCAGTACTAGGGATTAAGCCCAAGGGTGCTTAACCACTGAGTTATATCTCCAGCCCTTTTATATAATTTATTTAGAGACAGGGTCTCACTGAGTTTTTTAGGACCTCGCTAAGATGCTGAGGCTGACTTTGAACTTGAGATCATCCTGCCTCAGCCTCCTGAGCAATTGGGATTATAGACATGTGCCACTATGCCCAGCTCTTGCTTTAAAACTCTTTGAATGTGTATGAAAATAAGATATGTAATATAAGGTGGTAGCCCAAATTTATAGTAAAAATTTTCCCTCAAAGAACACCATTAAATGGAAAAAAGTCTTTATTAAAAAATTAAATAAGATGGCTACAAAAAAAGTTTATTTGAGCGCAGTATAAATTTAAATTCAAATTCCACCAGAATACATTATCACAAAGGTGACAATTTAGAACTATGAAACACTTGAAGCTTGAGAAATTAAGACAGGCAGATGAGAAGAAAAACTGATCGTATTCCTAGTTTTGAAGTTTTCTGTATGAAAGGATATATGTCAATATCTACTCATGTGTCCTGAAGGGTGTGGAATTTTAGTGGAAAAAAGAGTAATTGTTTTTTGTCTTGTTTTCTTTCTTCATGGAGCATGTATTTTATCTTAAGCCATCTCACCAATGCCTTACATCTTGGTGTCAGGATGGGCAATTTCATGCTATTTGGCCTAAAAACTGGCAACTTCTGAGAGACAGTGATAGGATGTGGGTATTCTAATGTCTGTCACAACATGAAGGGTATTCATTTAACTGAGATAAAACAAAATCAGATAAACAAAAGACATCGCTGCCTGACTTCAAGGGTTAGAAAGGATGGTTTCTTCTTACTCAATTAAAGATTTTAAACTATTTACATCAAATAAAATGATAAAACCTACTCATTGTTTCCTTTCATCTCATGGTGTGGGGTTGGGGAGGGGTTCTTTTTCTTAAAATGGAGTTATTGAGATGTAATTCACAAAGGATACTGTCCACCCACTCAAAGTATACAATTCAGTGTGCTTTAGCATATGTATAGGATTCTACAACCATCACCACAATATAATTTTAGAACATTTTTATCTCCCCTAAAAGAAACCCCATTCCCATTAGTTTCCACTCTCTGCTCCCTGTGCCCCCAGCCCTAAGCAACCACCAATTTACTTTTTGCTATAGATTTGCCTGTCAAATTTTCTTTAAATTGCCATGCATGACCTGTACCACTGAATTTTTTTCTCATTATCATAAGAATTTTAAAAATATGATAAAGCCTTCAAAAATGTGAATAGGTATCCAGAAAATTGTAGCAGCGTGATCAAAAGATATATTGAATTCAGTAGTATCTGATGGCTTAAGTAGTCGATAAGCAGTGAAGATTTAGATTTAGACAGATTGCAATATCACTTAAATGCCAATAATTTTAATTATAAACTTGAAGCAGGCTAAGGTTGCAGAAATGTCTTGTGCTCATAAGAACAACAATATTTGCAACCAGGAATATTTGCAAATACATTTTCTGACTTCACTACTTACTATCTGTATGACTCTGGGCAAGCATAAAAATTCATGAAATTAGCAAAGATAGAGTATTTAGGACCAAGCCTGACACACAGTGCTCAATAGATGTTAGGTATTATTTTATCACTTTAATTCATAAGAGCACAGTAATTTAGGTCAAATTCCAAAGAAGAATTCTTAACATATGCCAACTTACACATTTAATTAGTATTTTTGAAGTCTCTATTCAAAGACATTTCCTGCCATGATAACGATAGAGCATGACTGAAGATGCTGTAATGTAGGAAGAACAGCATTGATCAAGTATGATTAAGAAGAAAGCTGTAAACTGGCCTTCAGTGACTTTAGAATCATGCATTCTATAAATAGCAAAAGTGCTCACTAATTTATTACTTTCACCTAAGCACTCTTGTTGCAAATTTTCCTTTCTATATTAAAAAACCAATTGCAGCAACAAAAAGCTTCCATAATAGTCTTATACCTGTCTAATAAAAATAAAGAATAATATTAGAGCATTATAAACCACATATAGTCTTTTAGAGTTGAAATGTTTAAGACCCTAAACATGACTTTTTAAGTCTGTGTGAGCTAAAATTGTGATTTGGTTTTGTGTCCAGAATGTGAGGAAATGTAACCCAAATAATTTTTTACCTTCTCTTTAATTCTAATGCAAAATGGCATTTGCTAATAAGACTATGTTAGATAATTTATGAGGTATTAGGTACTTTTCTGTTCTCTTAAAAAGTGTGGTGCTAAGTATTATGTCCCAATCAGATAACTCATGACACACAACATTTTCATATTTGGGAAATGTTAACACGTTACAGTCCTTGCTTTGAAACATAAAAGAATTAATCACAGACAACACCATTTCATTTTCCTTTGACCCTTTAGACAATTTAATATGATTTGCATGCAATCCCATTTTAGGACCCAATGGCCTCTACTTTATACATCTGTTTGTATGTATCACCCCAAGCTTTCCTTCTCTTGGCATTGTTTTGTATTTGCATGAAAATTCATAATTTTTGCATGAAAAGTCATCTGTGCTGTTGAAGATAAATGTCTAACATGCCTTGCAAATATCACATACCATTACTTACATATTTTTTTCTTTTATTTTCAGTTACTGAAGTTTAAATATGCTTGAAATGTAAAAGTGGCATGAAACTGTAGTGATGCAAGAATATTTAATGTTCCTTTAAGGTTTATCATTCTTACCTGGGAAAACTTGGGGGCTATTCCCAACCTAGTCTTTGGACACTAATCTTCAATTACAAATTACGATAAAACTATACTGAACACAGGTACTGTCAGCAGAGTAACAACTTCTAAAGTAAGTTTTTTTTCCTTAGCTCTTTCACATAAGTATAAAATTTGTCCCCTGACTTCAAAAATTATTAAATATTTTGTTGTTTTTCACAAAACCTTCCTAATGTGACATAAAATTAAGCTCAGTTGACTTTGGCGAATTCCTAGTACCTAAAAAAGTGACAAATAACTTACTGAATGACAGCACTAACATTTTAGTACCTTAATGCTTTCTCAATGCCAAAATGGATATTTGATATAAGAGTGCATGAATACACAAAGAGAGTAGTAAGTCATTTGCACAATTTCATCAAGCTTCAAATTAAAGAGCCCTTGACAGTGTCCAACCAATGGGAGAAAGTGCATACTTCCAAGCAAGGCTCCTTTCTTCCAAGGCTCCCTGCTTGCTCTGCACTTATTCCCCCCAACTGCCATTGCTACCACACTTAACACTGTTTGAGAATACCCTTTAGAGAGTCCTTTAGAGCCATCAGCACATGGATTTTAAAACCTGTGTGGGGAGTGATTATAACTTTCTTATGAAGTGAATAGACTCTCAGTACCAAAGCAATCAAATCAGGATGGTAATCAATCTGGTGAAACATTTTTCAATGACATATGAATATAAAATTAATAAGACTTACAAGGCTTATAGCTTGAAAAATGATCGTGAACACATTTCCCAAAGAAGAACACCTCAAAGCATTCATATAAATATCAGCAATGGTGGAATAAGTGGAATTTTTTTAAGTATTTCAGATGACTACAGTATAGTCACTGGAATGAATAATTTCAATATTATGTATGTAGGTGTTATTTTTAACTTGACCTCATGTAAGCTAATGGAGGAGTTTACACATTAAAAGACAGTCATTCTACATTATTTTTATCTTATCGGAATATAGATGAGTGACTGTCACTTCCCCTTGGCTGAGTGAATATCAAGTTAATGCCAATTTAGCAGCAATTTTAACAGCTTTTGGTTGACTGTCTCCTGACTGTCACCAACTAGTTCTGTGATATTGGCATGGGACTCAACCTCTTTGTGCCCTGGCTCCTTAAATTATTTTTAAGTTATCATTTGAATAGAAATGCTATAATTATCATATATCTGTGTGTGAGACTATAATTATCATATATCATAAATCTACATTCTTCTCTGTATACTTCAATTAAATTCAAGCAGAAGTAACTCAAAATTTAAAAAATAAAAATAAGGTAACTAAACACAGAGAAGAAAACTAGTTTCTCTAATAGTCTTTTCCACCTGATGGTAAGATGCCATTTTCCTAGCTCTATTTGTTTACATTATTGTCTTGTACAAGTCTCACATCCCAGTATCTTCATCACCTTTTACAGATGAAGATACTGAGGTTCAGAGAGATTCAGTTACTTATCAGAGGTGATGGACTAGCAAGATACAGAGCCAAAGACTCTGGGTCTTCCAATTGAATATTCATTCCCTCCATCACCGTTTATCTCTGAGCAGGCTTTTGATTATGAGGCGATTTTTCCAAGGTGTCATCATTCAGAATTTACACTCCTTGAAAAGAAAATCTGCCTTTAGAACACCATGGCACCTCTGTGGAATATCCACTTGCGTCACTACAGCTGTCTCTGCTTTTACAAACTAGTTGTTTTGTCAGCATGAGTGTGACAACAATTAGACGTCCCCTGTTTTTGCCCCATGCCTTTTCTCCTTCACAGTCATTCAATGACAAGCGTAAAAAGAGCTTCATCTTTTCACGAAAATTCCCATTCTACAAGAACAAGGAGCAGAGTGAGCAGGAAACCAGTGATCCTGAACGTAAGTAGATTCTCCAAGATAATGTCACATGCAACACAAGAGGAAAAAAAAATCCTTCACGGGCAACACGCATGACGTAGGCTCTCTCACGCCACACGCTAGGCAAACAACACAGCAGGCAGGCAGGTCAGGTCTTACTACTGTGACCAGTGTTTGACTGCAGTCTGGATCCTTCCCTTCCTGTGGCTCTTCTTTGTAGAATGCTTTGGCAAGGGAGATATGGAAGCTGGGACTTCGCATCTAACCACCCTTTACCTTGACCAGAAATGGGTATGATTTGCCTTTTCTCTCATGTAAGGGCTTGAGACTGATTTCCCTTCTGGGCAGAAATATTGGATTCCATTACTGCATAAACTTTTTGAAACGCTCACTAACCAGGAGCAATTAAATTACCTTTGTTGATTCTGGCATATTGGCTCCCTCTTTCCCTCCCAGCAAATATTAAATACTCTCTCAGCAGTGAGCTTGTGTTGGTGGACACTAAGTCTCAGAATTTGATATGAAACATGGAGGGGATCGTTCCTCTAAGAGGCACATTTCTGTGGCAATGTTAACAGATGGCATTTGCCAAATCTTTCTTTTCTCCCTCTTTTTATGTTTTCAGACTTCTGCTTATACCTTTGGAGTTGCTTTCCAAATCAGCAATTTCTTTCTTAAGTCTCAGCCCAGGGAGTTTGGGGTAAAAGTTGTTTTAAAAGCACAGAGTGGGATCCAGATTGTTTAGGCAACACGGTCTGTCATGGTAGTATCCATTTCAACTCCACTGACTTCTTCCTTCCTCTTCCGTGGCTGTTCTTCCTCTCTCATTGCTCTCTCTGGGGACTTCCATGCAGGACATCCCCGGATTAGGTGACGACGGTTATGGAACAAAGACTCTGAGTAAGTTTCCAGGAATGGTCACTGTAACTTTTCTTTTCTTTTCCTTTCCTTTTGAGTTTGGCTTTTGTTCCTTTTCTTGAGGGCCTTTCACTCCTAGCATGCACAAGATACGAGTTTTATTTGTTACCTAGCTGTGAATGCTCCTACAAAATAATTTTCAATCGTTTTGTTCTGCATGTCAGCATTTAAAAGCAAAGTGTGTCAGGCACTCTAACTTCTGTTGCACTTAACTCCTTCCCTTTCTGACCATGTGATATGGCCAACATGGTCCTGATGCTCACCATAGCATCACTTGCTCTACTGCCTAATTCTTCCCCAGAGAGCAAGAAACCATGTTGCAAGAAAGGGTGAGCTAAATGTCCTAGAAAAGCAAAGTAGAAATATACTTTATGTTCTTTCTTCTGCCTTTTCACATGGAAATATTTAATTAGCTTGCCAAATTTCATAATCGAATTGTACTTTGCTATTAGTAAAGGAGCTACTCTGTAGTCAAAAGGAACATGCATTCTTGAAAAAAAACATTAAGCTATTTGATCTTCCATGAATAATTCTTTGTCATTAACTTTGATCTTTTCTGACTTGCAGTGATCCTGCTTGAAACGTTTGTATGATAAAGTTTTAGATATGTATTAATATCTTTTTCTATCAGTGATTAATTAGCTGCATTATATAATCAAGTCTTTTGTAGCATAGAACAAAAATTATATGTATTAGACCTTTACATCCTAGTTATTCATGTTTTCAGTCTGTGTCTTATTGCATTTAGCAATTAAAACTAATTTTCCTATGTATCAATATGCTATGATTTTTCTTTCTTTAATACTAATCCTATTGTGTAGGCACCAATGAAATAAGAACAGAATTTTGTGTCTTTTGCAGTTGTATCACATGTTCAATTTTATTTTGACAGCTATGGGTGATATTTTTATAAGCTGTTCATGTCATTTTATAAAACAATAGCATTGTTTTCAAGGGCTGTTTACATAATCCCACATAATACCTTTCATACTTCAAGTTGTTCATTTAGAGTGGTTTTTAGATATGTATACATAGAAAACAAAATCTGATCGGGAGTACTGATCTCTTTAAAGATGAAAACTTTATCTTTGAGACATTACAAGAATATGATGAAATTTTTCTTGAATTAATGGGTAAAATTCAAATGCTATTTTCAACATTATTGCCATAGTATCAAGCATCATCAGAGAGAGTTTGTAAATTTTCAATTTGGGAGGGAAAAGGAAATTTTTTAATATATTATTAATATTGAACATCAATAAAAATCTTCATAACCCCCAGTTCAAAGTACTTAAGATAATAATGCCTGTGAAAACACATCATTGTTGGTCTTGATGGTCATTCAGTGATAGAAAACAGACTTGCACAGATGCATTCACACTTCTTTCTCAGTGCCCCTTTGCACTTAGAACATGTGTGCCCAATTAGCAATGCAGAAACGATTTGTGTAAATTTAACATACTTCAGTTTTCATGAGTTTCATGCAGCAAAACAAGTCTGTATAACTGGCAAGAATACATAATATCTAAGCATTTTAAAGTGCTTTTTCACTATTAGAACATAATGTTATACTTTTTCCTCTTTCGTGTCAACCGTACGACAGGTCAATTTTTTTAAAAGCTGAAGTTATTACCAATGAGCTTCAGAAATCAAATAGTCTCATATACTTAACTAAAGTGATGTACAAAAATGTTGATGATTTGATCATCTATAATTTAAATAGTACAGATAAAAGCAAATGACTTTAGAAATGAAAGTGCTAATTCTGGCACGTAACCAGTACACACATCCCTGCTATGTTAGCTAAGTTGTATTTGTATGAAAAAACAATTCGGAATGTCACTCTATGAGCACATTATTCAGAATCAATTAATGACAGACTTCATGCTAGAACCAGCCTGAGCATCAGGCCATTTAACGACTGCCCACAAAACCCAATAGCTATCCAGGCAAAGCTCTTAATATAAAAACAAGAAAATACTGAACTAATTCACAAAACATATTCAGTGACTTCTTTCTTCCAAGATTTTTCTATGCACTCACTAAAACAGGAAAGATCTTCAAGCCTCCCTTTCAGCCTGAGAATTAGTTTATGAAGTATTTAAGTAGAAACAAAATTCAAAAAATTCCAGGGATCAATTGGTGATTCAGTGTTCCTAGAGAATAATTAAAGGCCCAAATAGAGAAATGCCTGCAAGAAAATAGTGCCTGCCTACCTGAAGCTCCTGGATTTATAGTTAAGAAGATATTCAGTTGAGACACATTGGCCTTTGTAACATGAATCTGGAAATTCAGCTGTAGGAATGGGTCATATAGTATTTACAAAAAGAAAATTGTGTAGGTTGACATTCATTTTTTAATTAAAGATACTTTCCTTGTTTGCTAAAAGGAGGAAACAGCAATCAAGCAGCAGTTTCCTGTAAAATGGCGATAAAGTTTTCATCTTCTTTATCTTACCTGAATTTTCTTAATGCAATCTACTCTGCGGCCTTTGACTTGCCTTTTGCTCACATTTCTAGTAGCCTTGCATGCGTGTATTTCTTTCCGTTCTGGCTGCATTCCAATGCTTGGTATCTCTTTAATTTGCTGTGCTGTTCTTGCAGAACATGTTTCTTCTAATGCCAGCGATAGCGAAAGTAGCTACCGTAAGTTACTGCTTTGGTTTGCGGTTCTTTTCTTTGCAACTGCTCCATTGCCTGTGATAGTCATTTCAGAGTTTTGTTGTTGTTTTTCAATTGCTGCCTTTTGTCATCTTTATCCAAAGCAAATGGCTTGAAATGAAATCAGCAATGGTTGCAGAAAGATACAGAAGACACTAGGGCCATCAGTGGACCCTAATGAGATTTGTGCAAGCAGTCAATCTTGCTAATATCAATTCCAACCTCAGCTGGTGGTGACCCAATGATTCAATTCTCACAGAGAAAGTGCAAAAAAAGTTCAACATAGTGGATTTTGACATTCCACCGCCTGCCTCCCCCTGATCAATTTAAACTCCCTGCAGGAGGGTGAAGAAGTCATTATGATTTTATTTTCCTTATCATTTTGCCTTTTTCTGTTTTGTTCCCTTTTAAATCAGACATGAATCTTATATCACTTTCTCCTTGCTTAATATTTTAAACTAGATACTACATCTACATATCTAACTTTATTTGGGGGATGGTTGGGAAAGCAATGAGAAAGTTTCATCCTCTAATGGTGAAGGAACTCCCATTTGGGGAAAAAAAAGTGAGCAAATGAGATAACTGAAAAGGTAGGTAATTATTTAAAAATTATTTCTGTTTTTTTCTTTGGTCACCTCAAGCCATTTGCTTAGTGTATAGAAATACTCACCAAACACCAAACACATCCTTTTGTTCAGTTCTTGTGGTTTCTTACCACCTACTTACTGGTTTTTGGTGACTAATATAGGTACAAATTGTCATTGGGATTCTTAGGACTTTTATAATATTAATTTGTACTACTTAATGAAAGGGATTTCCCAAAAAGCAATTGCCAAGGATATTAGAAAACTGCAGGCCCAATACATGACCACAGCTACCAAGGCAGAAATTGGTATTGTCTTTTGCTTAAATATTATAGTAATTAAAAACTAAAATCAGCTGGGGTATTTTCCCCCATGATATCATCATACTTTACAAGATTTTTTGAGTTGGAGTGCAAAATAGTGTTTTGGAATATTTTAAATGTAATTTGGATTTTGAGAAAGGCATTGGAGAATCAGATTAGTAGCAGGTTAAAAAAAAAAAGGTGCAGAAGAAGAAAGATGGCAGACAAAGGTCCAGAAAAGGGAGATGAGAGAGATGAGACATGCCAAAGAATGAAGAGACAAAAATTGCAATGAGCATATTTATCATATGATATTAGAATCACCCAATTTTCTTATCAATAGAAGTCTTAGAAGTTCACCAAGTCTTATTGTTGGAAGGATTAAAAGGGTAGCTTTCAACATGGTTCTTGACATTATGAGTTTCTTCTTACTCTTATAAATTTTTGACTAATCCAATTAAAAAAAATTGTTTCTCCCATTTTTCATTTGATTTTAAACCAAAAAAAAAAAAAAAAAAAAGCCACAAGCCAAGAAGTAACCAAAGCTTATCTTCTGACTTTTACTACTGGAGATTAAATCCAGAGGTGATTTACCACTGATACACACGCCCAGTCTTTTTTGTTTTTTTGTTTTGTTTTGTTTTTAGTTTTTGTGGGATTTGTTTTCGGTTTTTTTGAGACAGTGTCTCACTGAGTTGCTGAGACTAGCCTCCAACTTGTGATCCTCCTGACTCAGCTTCCCAAGTCAATGGGATTACAGGGGTACAGCACATCTGGCTTTCTCAATTATACAATTTATTTGTTGGCTTTCGTGGAAACCATTGATACTAATTTCTTTAGTGTTCAGTTTTCAATTATCAAAACTGTTCTTTCTTCCAGTAGACAAATACATGGGAAAGGAAAACACCATGCCTTATTCTTCTCTATCTTCTATGGAACGTATACATAAGAAGTATCTTTTTATTTAGAAATCACATTTTTTTTGGAGTATAGCCTCCTCTTCTGTATTTCAGAAGCAGGATTTTTTTTTCCAGAATCATTGTGTTATAAAAATCATGCAAAAGTTTTCAGCAGCTTGACAAGTTTTTGGAGTGATTGCCATAATGACATCAATAATTCCTTTTACTCTCAAATGGTAGCTGCTGCACACAAATGTTTATTGGATTAAAAAAAAACATTTATATACATCTTGAATTATCTATGAGAAGAAAGAAGAGTTGGAGGTAAATTCTATATTAGTAGGGCAAGTGTAGAATCTAATCATTATATTGGTTTGGAGTTACAGAAGGTCATCCACTCAGATTTTCCTTACAAGTCATTTGTTGAAGCTAGAAGGGAAAAAAAATTACCATTGTTTTCCCTCCAAGATATAAATACAAGGGATTCCAGAAGAATGTTAATTTGTCATCTACCATAAGTCAGGTTCCCTTCACTGGTACCATGAGACCCCAAATAAACATAAACTAACTCTGGATCACAGCACACATATAGTAGGAGAAAGAGTTCAATAAATGAGAATGTGCACAAAATGAGGCAGGTTCTAGGAGATAAGTTTAACTCAAGAATAATGACAGAATCAGAGATGGTTTCAGAAAGGAAGCTTTGATCTGAGCTTCAGAAAGATGAGACAGACACTTACCAGCTAGGCAAAATGAGGAAGGAATTTTCTAGAAAGGGCAATGTTGTGACAAAATCCATAGAGTCTTGGCCCAGACTTCCAGAAAGAAGCAACTTTGACATCAAAATAGGCTGCATTTTTCTACTGAATTCCTGGCTTTTGCTATAATTATGATTAACTTTATCATCTTTTGAATAGCAGTATGAACAAAAACAAAAAGGACTCTTTTCATAAAGTCCAGGTGTTATATTTTACTTTTAGAACTGTGCCATGTCCACTCTAGGGACAAAATGGCTATAATAAAGTGTGAGTGATGAGAAATGGTCCCAGGTCCTTGTTCCACAGGTCCAAGGGCACCATTCACACTGCATCCTGGAGTTACATGTTTTGGCAAACTCACCTGAAGGTGTCCTGTTTCCTGAGATACACCTGCACACACATCCATGGACACAGACCTCAATTTCTAATAAACAGTTCAGACCTCTGCTACACCACCTCAGGCATATCAAATAGTTATTTTTTCCAATTCCAACTACATTGAGAAGCAGCTAAAATGCAGTTAATCACAGGGTACATTGTCTAATTAGCAAAATACCACATCAAAACTGTCTTAATTCTTGGCCAATTCCAAATTTCCATCTGCCAATAAAGAAGTGAAGTGAAGTCTTATATTTGGGGCTCTTGTGTAGCACATCTTTCAGTTGCCCTTGTATTGGAAGGCGATAAATACCAAGCAAGAATAATGGGGACCAGGCAAACCTCTGCAGCTGAAGACCTGGCTTCTCAAAGCTCTTGACACAGCATGGATGTGTAGGAGCTGATGATAATCCTTTTAATCCACTGGGGTTCATCAGTTAAGAAGGATTTTCAAAACGAGGATCTTGAAGAAATGATTTGAGTGAAACTGACATGTTGATATGAAAGCCAAGATTTCTCCACTGGAGTCTGAAAATAATGCACATATTCTTTGCTTTACTCCACTATTCTCAAGTTTTGCCCTTGGATGCCTTTAGTTCTTTCATCTTTATAGAGCAATTTTTCACTCCACCTCTTGTTTCATTTGACTTCTGCAATAAAACTATTACATGTATTTTACACTGATAGTCCACATTTTAAGGGAAGAAGTTAAAGCTCCAAGAGGCTGTATACCTCATCAATAAGTGGTAGCACTGCAGTTCCAACCAAGACCTTTTTCTCTGAATTCCAGACATTTTTCACTCTTCCCTATACTTTGCTATCCCAGCCTCTTGATGTTTTTATCTACTACATTCCAATAATCCCATGCTACTCATCCAATTAATATAGACAACAACGTTGACAAAACATTAACTATATGCTAATGCTTATTTCAAGGGCTTTATAAAGCAATTTAATCTTCTAAGCATCTTATGAAGATGCTATGTGATTTTGCAAAAACTAAAGTATCAGTAGTCCCTTATATAAAATGAGTAGCTTAGATTAGAACTGAGATTGAAAATATATTTCAATCAAGATTTCAGCTCTAGCCAATGGGTAGTAGCTGCCTGATGAGTTGTACTGAAAAGTATTCTGAGGCCACATTGAGTAATGCAGACAATGATCAGTTTGTGATACCTATCAAGAACATAGGATGTAGGAATAATGTGCTGCACACTTGCCTCTGAAGCACATGAACTCCAATCCTCACTTAGCCTAAAGTTCGATGGTTCTAAGAACCTATTCTTAATAGCCATCATATGCTACCACTAAATGCTGAATTTCGAACATTAAATGAACTACCACTGGTCATCTCTTCCCACCCCTCTCTCGTTTCCAAGGATTCATGAAGTAAAGCACTTTACTTTTCCCAATCCTGAAGACATATTAGGGTCTTCTTCTGGATATACTCACTGTGACTTGCTTCCAGTTTACAAACAAAATGTTTCATGGGGACTGCCACAAATCCTCTGCCAAGTCTCTGACAGCTGCAAATATCCACACACAGCTCTGTGCTGCTTGCCCACTTCCAGCCATGCAGTTGCCAAAACAAGACCAAGAAATAGTTTGTACCTTTTCACCAGCTGTTATTTCTTAAGTGCCAACTTCTTCTGAGAAAAAAATAGAAAAACTACTAAGGATGACTATTTTATGCAGATGACACAGTAGCACTTTTAAATAAAAGAGCCGATTTTGCAGATGGAACACCTTATGGCCCCTCAGTGTGTCTGACCTGATTTCTGTTCCCTCGCCTTTGTTCCTTAGTAAGCTCTACCCCCCCCCCCCCCCGACACACAGGGAATTCTACATCTCTTACCCTTTTGAGACAGAGTGATACACTCAGCACAATCAAAACAAGATATGGTTTAAAATCTTGACTCCACCTCATCCTAGTTAAGGAAATAGGCCTCATCGATGTCTCTGAGCCTCAGTTTCTTCATCTGTAAAATAGGGGTCATCAGAGCACCAACTACCTAAGAAAAACTGTCAACAATTAGAAGCCAATGGATGTGAAAGCCCCTCTAGACCCACAAAGTGCCAGTGATATGAGTTTTCTTCATTACTTCCCTTCTTTGTTCATCTAATGTTTCATTACTCACAGGGCTTTTCATTCTTGAGTCTGAAAATGAAATTGACTTTACATTCACAGCTACTATGTCATGCCAACCTCCACAGCTTCCCTGCAGGCCTCCTTGGTATTCCCAGTACCTAGTTGTATGGGGCCTTGAGAACTGGGAAGAACCTTGACATAAAGTAAACTGCCATTTCTGCCTACCCATACCACTGTTCTGAGCAAGACCCAGCACCGTTCGTAGTTGCAGAATGAAACTAAAGAGCGATGGATAAACAAGAAACTATAAAACTCTTTAAAAATTGATCAAACTGGGCACAGTGGCACACTCCTGTAATCCCAGCAGCTAGGGAGGCTGAGGCAGAAGGATTGTGAGTTCAAAGCCAGCCTCAGCAAAAGCAAGGCACTAAGCAACTCAGTTATACCCTGTCTCTAAATAAAATACAAAATAGGGCTGGGGATGTGGCTCAGTGGTTGAGTGCCCCTGAGTTTAATCCCCAGTACCCCCACAATAAATTAATTAAAGCTATGTTTTGCCCTGATTTTTTGAATCACAAATATACATACTGATATCAAATATCTTATTTAAGGCTTATTTAAGACATTTTTAAATGTCCCATCAGAATGATTTGCAAAGCTACTGGAAAGAGATTCATATGGAAGCATGGCATGTTATGTTTATTTAGAGGAACCATATTTCCCAAAGTGAAATGATCATATTGATAGAAACACAAAACAGAACCTATCTTTTGCCTCATTACTCATTCTGTTCCTCATAACTGAAATGAGAATGTGAATTCATTGACATCTTTCTTTACGTTAAGCACTTGAATGCGCTCTGAGGATGCAATGATAAATGAAACTCAGTATTTGCCTTTATGGAGTTCCCAGAATAATGGGAAGACTCAAATATCACCTGGTATTTGAAATTTATATTATCCCACAATCAGGATTCTCCTCTCATGTTATTTTATGAAGAACCCTCTATATAGTTTTACATTACAATGTTATCCTACCACACTTCTATCCTGAAAACTATGCATTTTCCCCCAATAATTTTTACACTTCTCTTCTGAATGCTTATGACATGTACATACCTCAGGCTTTAGATACCTAGAGCTTAGCAGTCAATGGCCTTTTTTTTTTTTTATTTTGGCCTAGACTAAATTTCAGTAGTTCAGTTTATTCAGAAGGATTCATTCTTTTCCTGAATATAGAAAATTGTGAATCTGACTCATTGAGCACCAAACCCCTGCTCAGATATGGGAAAGTCCCCTGCAAATTTCTGAGGTGGCCACACATAGCTGCCACTGAGGAGGAGGATTGGCCCACTCTCTGTACCATTAGGATGTAGCAGGACCTAGCAGTTGCACCCTGAGAAGAAGCCCTCCTCGAAGTAAATGTCAGATGTGGCTTAAGCCTGTAGCCATTCCTTACACTTGAAAAAGTAAGAGCCCACAAACCATACAGCCACCAAGTCTCCAGGGAAAACACCTGTACTCTACAACTTGACCCACCTGTTGTTTCACTTTACCAAAGCAGTTGCTATTATCAAAACCATCTTTGATATTACCTCACTTCATGAAATCAACCCACCTTTCCTTGGTGCTGGGCCTACTGAAGGAGAACTTGGCATTGGCACACTGAGTATGTTTCACAGGTGATGAGCATATAAAGCAATGAGGTTAATAGCCCTTTGGCTTCAGAAAGTCTACATCATGTCCCATTCCTCTTCCACTACCTCTTCTAACAGACACAAAGTCATATCCAACAGTCCTAACCTATTTCCCCACCAAAGTTTAGTCAGTATGAGACCTTACACAAATAAAGGAGCAGACCCTTTAGGGTTTGCAACTGACTTGAGCTAAGCCCATGACCAATTTTTGACCAAATGGATAAAAAAGATGACTAAAACCTAATTATCAAAACCCAATTTACTCTCCACAGTTATTTGCTGACTTGAGACCCACACTGAATCAGCAGACTTACAGTGAACGGAAGTGTAGAGGATAACACTTTGACGCCATTGTCTTCCTTAGTTCTCTTTCTGAAGTTTCAGGGCATGATTTAGCAGCAATTGCAAACCAATATATAAGGCACTCCTCTCAATTTGTTGTTGTTGATGGTAGTGGTGGCTACTGCTGAGAATCCAACCCAGGGTCTCACACAAGCTAAGCACACACTCCAACACTGAACTTCACTTCCGGCCTCCTCTCAATTTTTAACCTTCTTTAATTGGCCCACAACATTCTCCTGATGATTTAATATTAAGGAAAAAAATCTTTAGTGTCTTGTAATTTTCTAATGAAATTTTACATCATAAATGAAATAAACAGACATTTGCTTTTAAACAATATTCAAAAATATAAGATGTAATAAAAGAAAAATTTAGAAGAGGTAGCAATGAACTGATGGATAGACCCTTTCCTTCAACTAAATGGCTTTAATTTAGGTGGTCACGCTTGGTGTAGTGGCATGGCACTCCATTAGAAACATAAGACAGAGAGCAGTCTCACAGATCCTTACCCTGTTGCTGAGAACCACAGCTAGTTTTTATGTAGAGTTATGACTGTGAGATAACCTAACACTAAGACAGTGCTAAAGAATTCTATGAGGATGAAGGAAATTTTTGGATGGTTCAGGGAGAGAGAGCAAGGAAAATTAACCCTGAACTGTGTCTGCTTCCTATGTTTCAGAACAGGGATTTTAGCTCTGGTGAATTACTGGTTGTTAGTCGACTGTAATTTTCCTCTCTTTTCTTCTCAGGAGGGCAAGAAGACCTCATTCTTTCCTATGAGCCTGTCACAAGGCAGGAAAGTAAGTTTCCCAGCATTCTTGGGTTCCTGATTTCCAGGCCATAATAGGTGACACAATTGAAGGACGGAAACAGTGACGGCTAAGGAAAATACACTCGGCTTAAAAACTCAGTTGCCCCTAAACTACTGTCTTTCCTTGGCCCTATCACCATACAACAACTTCCCTGCGAAACATGACCAATACCAGCTCCCAAGAGGATGGAGCAGCCCTTCAAATGAGTGGCCCTTAGTGGGAAGGAGCACATCCAAGTGTCTGGCTAGAGAGCCCTAGCCAGAGACCTGAAGGCTAAATCCTCCCAGGAAGCTTGTGTTAGCCCAGTACTGAGAACATTCTAGCAGACCTAAGATAGAGCTATCTGAAGGCTGCCCAGAGAAACTGACTTAATTTTTCTGGAGGCCATTTATACAGAAGCTGATGGCTGTTGACAAGGATGTTGCAGAGAAAATTCAAGCATCAGATGGGCAGAGTTGCCAAATGAACTTTAGAGATCCTTTGAATCCCAGATACAAAGGAATCAGGAAAACCCCAGCAGAGCACAGAGAGTATTTTGAGCTGAGAGAAAGAAATTATAAAAACATAAAGTGTCATTACTACTAACAATTGCTTTTAAACAATGGCCAAACAGCTGGTTTGAATTCTTTCTTTCTCCCACTCAACTGACTAAACCCAAGTGTTTTGACATTGTGTAGGCATAAATGAAGAATAAGCAAAACTCTTCCAAATGCTTTTCTTTTTTTTTTTAACATTGTTCTAGTTGTAGACGGTCACAATACCTTTATTTTATTTATTTTTATGTGGTGCTGAGGATTGAACCCAGCGCCTCACACGTGCGAGGCAAGCGCTCCAACGCTGAGCCACAACCCCAGCCCCTATTGACAGTCCCTTCAGTTGCTTTTCGGAGGGGGGCGGGGGGGGGGGTAAGTCCCAGACAGTAGGCACAGTCAACATCCTGAGGAGTAAACATTCATTTCCCTATGTTGGGTAATTGATCCAACGTTATTCCCTTGGCAGTTCTTACTGTTTGGCAGTTTCACTTTAAGAATCACCCTTGCAGGACAATTTTTCAATGATCTCCAAGTCAGTCTCCTTATCTGCATCTTCTTTTCCCTATCTGCAGTAAACTATACCCGGCCAGTGATTATCCTGGGCCCCATGAAGGATCGAATCAATGACGACTTGATATCTGAATTTCCTGATAAATTTGGCTCCTGTGTGCCTCGTAAGTATCATTTCTCTTTTTTACAGGAAAAAGCTTGGATTCTTTATGATACATAATATTATTCTTCCGGTAGTTTCTGGTTTTCCAAATACCACCAGTTACCCATTATCTGAGCACTGTCTCTCAATTCTCTGCCTAACACTTTCCATCTATGCTGCCATGTGCTGTTCTCTATTTGGTAAGTTTATGATAATGTTCTCTCCAAACTGACTGTAGTCCCATAGAAGGTAGGCAGGATCTCTGTAAACCCCTAGCACTTAAAACAGCATAGAATTTATGATAGGCCACAGAATGTTCTTACAGACTGATTAAAATGCCACTATAACATCTTATTCCATAGAATGAGGGAGATCAGAATCAGTCATATATTAAAATCTTCTCAGGATGACCTAGGACAATTTGTTAATCCCAAAATCAAATAGCCTTTCCATGAGTTTTGACAGTACAGGTCTTAGGAGAACAAAAACAAGATGTCTGAGACTTTATTCTATCCTAAAAACCTCTGAAGACTTTAATCTGCTTTGTCATAATTGACAAACATTGGGTATCCTAGCCCCTCTGTAGCTCTGTCAGCTTCAGTCTGCTATAACTTTTCCCCCTACCATCACACTTCGCCACCCACCCCCATGCACAGAGACCTTCTGTGCAGACAAGCTCACTAGCAAAATTGAGCTTACTACATAAGGAAACTCATAAATCTGATCCCAACAAATACTTCTCCCTCATTCTTCAAGTGTCTCTAACATTTCAATAGTGCAAATTTCCCCTAGAGTACTAAAGAATAGCAGGACTCATGTATATTACATGGGCAGAAGAGAGCTAGGATGATTGCTGCATCTCCTGAGCCAGTTCCCAGAGAAGTTCCCAGCCTTGGGAAGAGTTCCTGCCACAGAACATATCCCAGTAAAGTCTTCAGATGGAAAAGCTCAAATAAAACCCTCCGTTAATTCCAGCAGCTCCCAGTTGGACCTTCTACTTTTTATTTATTTATTTACTCGAATTAGGTATATGTGACATAGAATGCATTTTGATTCATTGATCTTCCACTTTTTGAGAGAAATAAAACAAAGTTCTTATGCACTTCGTCCATTTCCCCTTCACGTCACACATGCTACTTTTTTCATTAATAGCACAGCGTGCATGTTCATTGTACAAAACTTGAAAAATGCAAAAAAGAAACTTAAACAAGAAAGTAAAAAGTACACAGAATGCCCCATAACATCCAGAAATAACATCACGGCTATATTATTTCTTCCATTACATATGTTTTTTCATATGATAGATGGGTTTTTGACATTATTTAAAATTTTATGTAACTATTTTAATGATTAGTATGTCATAATTAATCATTCTTCATTTATGGATACTTTGGGTTTTCTCTATTTTTCATCACTGAATTTATAATCGAACTATAAAACCATTATTTACAAATTAATATAATTAATATCTTTAGGGTTAAAACTGTATCTGAAGTTTCAATCACTTTTAACATAGATTCTTAGAAAATAACTGAGTAAAACTTTAGATATTTTTAGATATATTTTAACTTTTTTAAGTCATATCGCTATCTATCGCTTTCCTCTCTTTCCAAAACATGTAAGTGCAGTGGTTAGACTTACTGACTTTTTGTCCCACCTGTACTGTGATTCTCTTATTACACATATTTTTTAAATCCCTGAACACATTATAACTGTATGACAATGTTTTTTCTCCTAGTTACATGACTTTATTTCTTTGCTTATCTCATAATTTTTATTTTGTGTCAGACACTACAGTGGTGTATTGCTGGGAATCAGATTTTGTTATCTTCCTTCATGTAATATATTTGTTCTGGAAAGCAACTGCCAAAACAGTTTGTTCCAGCTGCAACTTGGCTTTAGACTTTGTAAAGATGGGTCTAGAGTAAGTCTAGGGTAGCATTCCAGAATGTGGCCTTTCTGGGGTTTCAATCAAATGCCCAATTCTGGCTGAACTCCAGTGTCTCCTAACCCTGTGTGACCTCTATACTTTCCAAGTGGAAAGGACCCCTAGGTAGAGAGGTGTAGTGAATGTACAGTTTCCCTCATATATTTTTATTCTCTCAAAATTACAGTTCTTCACTGTTAATTGGTGCCTGAAAACAGTTGTTCCATGTTAAGTTTTATAATTTTTTGTGGTAGGAGGTTAAGACTGGTACCTGTTACCATGTCATAGTTCATCATATTACATATGTTTATGTATCTATGTGGGGGCATGGTAGAGAAAAATAGGTGGTGGAAAGGAAGCTTATAAAAATAAATGTGCCTTAATTTTTTTTATTTCTTATTTTGTAAAGATACTACAAGGCCGAAGCGTGACTATGAAGTGGATGGGAGAGACTATCACTTTGTCATTTCCAGAGAACAAATGGAGAAAGATATTCAAGAGCACAAATTTATAGAAGCTGGCCAGTACAATGACAATTTATATGGAACCAGTGTGCAGTCTGTGAGATTTGTAGCAGAAAGGGTACGTTTGCCAATCTCCTTATAACTCTCCACAAGAGTATATCTAGGTGGCAAACTGTGTCTTTTTTTTTAATCATTACTCTTTCCTGATTGCAGTTGAAAAACTTTGATTAAATGTTCCTTTTAAGGTTTCCAAGGAGAGAATCACCTTAGAGCAATGTCATTAATCTATATTATAATCTCAATAAAGTATTCTAACTACATGGAAAGGGGAGAGAACAGAGGATCTATAAAGCTAGTTAACAGCCGTAAGTTTATGGGGCCTCAGTTTATTCTTGACTCTCTGAGACCCTAATAAATAAAACCTTTAAGGATAATAAATAAAACCTTTGTTACTTTTGGTTACCTAGTTGTGTCCAAAGGATTTACTTCTCTATTTCTCCTTTTCTCCCTCTCCCGCCCCCCCATCTCAAAACTTGCTATCTTCATGTTGGAGGGGGAGATATATCAGAAAAGTTTCAATTTAGAGAAAGTGTCAGTGTTGTCATTCCCTTCTTCCTGACCATTTCAGAAGCAGGGAAAATAGGAGAATGTTTGAGAGAAGAGGATAGGAAGATACTTGAATGGGGCTTTAGAATGTGCCTATACAGAGATGCCATCTCCTATAAACACAAAGAAGCAAAGTCAGAAAATGTTTGTCAGGTTGGTTGGGTTTGATGTGACGCTTTCCACCCTTTTGATGTACTAATAAAAAGTCAAACAAATTTTTCTAAGATGAAAAGATGGCTAAATATAGGTGGCCAACTTTGTTTTCTTTCTCCACAAAGAACAATGAAAGTAACAGATATATAGCTGCATTTCAAGGTGAGCAAAGGAAGGAGAATACTGGAAATCAGCAAGAGAGAGATTGGAACCTTATAAGATTCAGAGACCTGGGACAACAGCATAAAAAGAAAATTACAACACTCTGACAACTGCAACCCCCAGTTCCATAGCCAGGGTACACACTGTCCCTGGCTCCAACTTGGTCCAGCAGCTCTGATGCAAGCTCACTGGGTCCTGCACTGTAGGATATATAGGTATTGTGACATGGAGGGGAATAGAGGGTTCCACCCTCAACAGTCAGGAGATCAGGAGGCCTGTTCTCTGAGACCAAGTGCACATCCATCAGTGTGTGGTTTTGTGCAAGTTCCAGGACTGAAAGCAGATTCCCAAATGGTTTCTTCCATCCCTGCCCTCTGTGCAGCATTTAGGCAATTGTTTCTGACAGAGTGAGAAGGGAACACCATGATTCTCACTGCTACCTTGCCCACAGGGACATGTTGAGGGGTTCTTGAGTGACTCTACTACATCAGCTATCTCCTTACCCTTGAACATGCAAGGTGGGGAGGATCAAGAGCAACTTCACCTAGCTACATTCATGTCCCACTCCCACTTGTTCCTGGGCAGGCACTACAGCTGAAGGAGTTCAGGATGTAGAAAAGCCCCAGCTACTGTCCCACCCATTGGCATGCATGGCCAAGTTCCCAGAGGAACTTCGCCCAGCTCCAGTTGAGTTCCTACTCCCCAGGCAGCACAGTCACTGAAGCACAAGAACACCAGGGTTCCTGCTGCCATAACACATACACCATTTCCAGTGCTGCCTGCTACTGCATCTGGGTTGACCACACAGTGCTGTCCAGACTGGCTGAGTGCCACAGAGCAGGTGCTGCATTTCCCACCAATGCCTCTCCCCAGTTCTCACACCACTGAGTAATTGTAAGAAAAATGTACTGAGCCTTTCACCATGCTGGAGCCACCAGTGCCAAGGGCTCTTGCTAGTAACAGAGTTAACATTAAAAATACCTGAGGAAATTCTTGTGGCATGATGGGAGCCACCACTCCCGTCACAGAAGCAGGCACACAGAGAACACCCCACACCCACTGCTGTCTGCACTACAACTGCCTGAACCACTGGAGTATCTTCATTCTTATGTGGCCTGCAGAAATAATGAATGAGTCTCTCTGACTCCCCCAAGGTACACATTGTGACGAAGTCATTATTTACAGCCAAAGAAGCTACAGGGGGAGTCACTATGCTACCCAGCTAGAATTAAAGCCAACATTGCCTAACAAAACAACACCCCATGATCCAGCTTCAGGATAAAGCTGCTAAGTAGGTCACTCCATAAAATTAGTAAAGAAATTTGATACAATAGATGCACAAATCTCAACATAAAAAATATATATAAAAGCACAAGGAAATATGACACCTCCAAAAGAACATAATAATTTTCTAGCAACAGATAGCAAAGAAATCAAAATGAGTGAAATGCCTCATAAAGAATTTTAAAGAGTGACTGCAAAATGTTCAATGAGATCAAAGAGAATAGACGAACCATTAAATGAAATTAGGAAGACAACACAGGATATAAATGAGATATGCAGTAAAGAGACATTCTGAAAAATAACTAAATAGAAATCTGGGAAATTAAGAGCTCAACAAATCAAATAAAAAAATACAATTGAAAGCCTCAAAATCAGACTAGATCAAGCAGAAGAAAGAATATCTAAATTTGAAGACAGGTTCCAGTCAGAAAAAAAAAATTAAAAAGAAGAAGAGTATTACAGACCTACAAGCCTCATTAAATGTACAAACATCTACATTGTGGAGGTTACTCAAAAGTGAAGGTCATAGGAAAAAAATCTAAGATAATAGAAAACCTATTCAATGAAATAATAACAGAAAATTTCCCTAATTTGGAGAAAGATATGAACACTCATATATAGGAGACTTATGGGACCCCAACAGACATGACCAGAAAGTATATTTACCACAGCATATTATGATTATACTATCAAGGGTACAAGACAAAGAAAAATTCTAAAATCTGCAAGACAAAGCATAAAGTTATATTTAAGTTGTATTATACTAACTGTAGATTCCTGTTAGAAATAGAAACTCTGTAGTCCAAGGAGGAATGGAATGACATATTCTAAGTCCTTAAAGAAAATAACTGCCAACCCACCATATCTACTAAGGCTATCCTTCAGAAATGAAGAAGAAATAAATACCTGCCAAGACAAGCAAAAACTGAGGAAATTCATGATGATCAAATTAACTTTACAAAAGATAAGTAAGAGAGTCCTATATCCACAAGTGAAAGAAAGATAACTACCATCATGAAAGCATCTAAAAATTATAAATCCCACTAGAAGAGTTGAAACACAAAAGAGAAGTGAAAAAGAACCCAATACTATCAATAGAATAAACCATTAAACCACAAAGATGAACAAGAGAGGAAGAAAGAATAGAGACTATTCAAAACAACTAGAAGAATTTTTTTTAAAAATGATAGGAATAAGTCCTTACCTACCAATGATAACCTTAAATGCAACAAACTAAATTCTCCAATTAAAAGTACAGATTGGTTGAATTAATGTAAAAAAAAGGAAGAAAAACATGTTGCCTATAAGAAACTGACTTCACAAGTAATGACACACAGAGACTGAAAATGGAAGGATAGAAAATAGTACTCCAAGCAATGAAAATCTAAAATGAGCAGGAATAGTTACACATATTTCCAGCAAAATAGACTTAAAGAAAAAACTAAGAAGAGATAAAGAAGGGCACTTCATAATGATTAAGAGATAAATTTATGAAGAAATTATGATTATAAATCTATATGCATCTAATTTCAGAGAACCCAACTTTATAAGACAAACACTATTAAACCTAAACAAAGAGAAAGGATCTAAAACAATAATAGTGAAGGATTCCAACACCCTTCTATTTCCAATGTACATCCAGACAAAACATCAAAGAAACAGACTTAAAGTACACCATAAATCAAAAAGACAAAACATAATTTAAAGAACATTTCTATTCAACAATGTAGAATAGACATTCTTTTTATCAGCCTGTTGAAACTTCTCTAGAATCCACCATATATGACACAAAACAAGTCTTAACAGAGTCAAGAAAATTTAAATCATACCCTATATCTTTTCTGATTATAATGGAATAAAACTGGAAATCATCTACAAAAGAAATTTTAGAAATTACATAAATATATAGAAACTGAACAACACAGATTTGAACAGGGAGTCATTGAGAAAGGAAGAAAGGAATTTTTTTTAATTACTCAAAACAAGTAAAAATGGAAATACAGCATACCAAAACTTGTGGGATGCAACTAAAGTAGTACTAAGTAGGAAGTTCCTAGCAATGAATATCTACATTTTAAAAATATAAACTAAAATTTCAAGTAAGCAACCTAACGCTATATCTCTTAGATATAGGACTTAGAAGAGCAAGAATAAACAAAATCCAAAATTAATAGACAGAAAGAAATAAAAAAGATCAGCGGGGAAATAAATGACACAGAGACTATAAAAAATACAAAAGTTCAATAAAATAGAATTGGTTTTTTGAAAATATAAATAACATTTACAAAATGTTAGCTGAATTAACCTAGGAAAAAAAGAGAGAAGGGCCAAATAAATAAAAGCAGAAATGGAAAAGAAAACATTATAACCAATACCAGAGAAATACAGAAGATCATTAAGGATTATTATGAAAAACCATATGCTAACAAATTAAAAACCCCAGAAGATATGGATAAATTTCTGGATATATGTGGTATATCAAAATTGAACCATGAGCATATAAAATCCTGAATAAATCCAGTAGTTATATAGAATTGGTTTAAAGGAAAGCCTTCCCTTATACAAAGGAAAGCCAGGACTTCACGGGCTTCACTGTTAAATTTTACCAAAATTTAAATAACAAATGCCAATTCTTCTTAATCTATTCCATAGACTTGAGAGGGAAACTTTCCACACTCAGATGAGGTCAGAATTACCCTGTTGCAAAAAACAGACAAGGATACAAAAGAAAAAGAAAATTACAATATTCCTGATGAATCATAGTTGCAAAAATTCTCAACAAAAAAACTAGCAAATCAAGTTGAATATGTGGGTACATGCCCATAGTCTCAGCAACTTGAAAGGCTGAGGCAGGAACAGCCTCTTCACTAAATGGTGCTTGGAAAACTGGATATCCATGTGCAAAATACTGAAACTGTCACCATATACAAAAACAAACTCAAGATAGATAAAGGTTTAAATCTAAGATCTGAAACTTAAACCACTAAAAGTAAGCACTTCAAGACACTGGTAAAGGCAATGATTTTCTGGATAGGCCCTCAAAAGCACAGGAAACCAAAGCAAAAATTGACAAATAGAATTAAATCAAACTAAAACCTACTGCACAGCAAAGGAAACAATCAAGAATGAACAAATAGAGCTGGGGATGTAGCTCAATTGGTAGAGTGCTTGCCTCACATGAACAAGGTCCTAGGTTCAATCCCCAGCATCACAAAAAAGAGTGGAGGAATAACCTACAGAATGGGAGAAAATATCCACCAACTATTCAATGTGACCAGGGTTAATATTTGAAATAAGTAAAAAACTAAAACAAAATGCTCTGATTTGTTTTAAAAAATGGGTATTATGCTTTGGATCTACAAAGTCCCACAAAGGCCCATGTGTTATAGGCTTTGCAGTAATGTTAAATAGAAGTAGGGCTTTGGGGAAATAATTAGATCCCATAGGCTCTCTTCTCTTCAGTGTTTTAATCCACTGATAGTCTCATAATTTGATGGCATTATTGAGAGGTGGTACAAACTGTAGGAGGTGGGACCTAGTTGGTTGACGTAGGTCACTGGGTATATGCCCTGGAAAGGTATATTTGGTCCTGACCCCTTCCCTTGCTTTCTTTCTGCTTCACAGGCACCATAATATAAGCAGGTTTGGCTATCATCAAAGAATAAAATGTAACAAATACTGCTGAGAACATGGAGAAAAAGGAACACTAATACATTGTTTAAGTTTTTTGAGGAACCTCCATACTGTTGAGGCAGTAGCTCACTTCTGGTATACATCCAAAGAAAATGAAATCTGCATGACCATGTTTATAGGGGAACCTATTCACAATAGCTAATATACAAAATGAACATAGGTGCCCATCAACAGTTGAACAGATAATGAAAATGCATATATGAAGTATTATTAAGCCATAAGGAAGAATGATCTCCTGTTATTTGCAGCAAAATAGATAGAAGAAGAGGAAAGAGGACAGATACCAAAAGACAAGTACTTCATGTTCTCTCTCTCTCTCTCATGTGGAAGCTAAAAATAAGTTAACCTGAAAGTAAGATACTGATTACTAGGTACAAAGAAGGACATGGGGTTGGTGGAGGGTGGGTAATGGTAGTTTGATTTATTTGATCAGTGCACTATGTAGGCATGTATGGAAATATCACACTAAATTTCTTTAATATGTTTAATTAATTTATGTTAATAAAAGGGAAATATACAAAAAAGATGAGTCTATTTTCCTCTCTGAAAAGGGTAGGTTCTATCAGCATTATATGGATACTGGTTCTCATCAGTGTCTAGAAAATTGCAACTGTTTTCCTCTTTGAACTTGTAGATACCACCTTTAACTTAAAATGTGCTGTTCAGTGAGTAATCAAACAGCATTTATACCTTTTATATTACTGTTGCACTTCACAAATAGCAAAATTGGAATTTATTGCTTACGTAATAAAGTCCAGTGAATACCTGAACTCTGTTTATTTTCGCATGGATATTGTAAATTGTTTTTATCTCCTATTATTGATCTAGGACTGTCCCAATTTTTATAACATGATTTTTTTCTCTGCTTGTATAAAGTTCTTCTAGCCTTGGGGTAATAAGGCCATTTCTTCCTAGGAGGTAGAATATTAAATGGCAAATTTACATCTACTTTTCCAGAAATACTTTATAAAGCAGTTCCTTGCTCAGAGTACTCATTACAGTGAAATCCATGTTAAATGAGGTGTGCTATAATGTCATCAGGTTTTTGTTAACAAACTAGAAATTTTTATACCCTCTGTTAGATTCTCTTTCATCATTTAACCATATAACTTTTAAGGTAACTTTTTTGTCGGTTCTCTCTAAACTGAACATATTAAGGACTGGATACATGTAAGCATTTAGCAAATGTTTAGGGAATTGTTCTAAATTCAAGTGATTACCATTCTTCCAAATTTAACATTGGTCAGGGTATGACAATGAAGTGTCTATTCCAATCAATGATTCTATCAGTACTTAAGGCTTGAGTTTGAGTCCTCCTAGCACTGAACTTTTTGGCAAGTTGAAAGTTCTGTCTTCATCTTCTCTTCCGTAAAATAGAGTTGCTATCTCATAGATGAGGATTTCTTGATAATTTTTTTCAGGGATGTTTTATAAGCTTCATGGGAATGGACTTAATTACCTAACATATTATTACACATCTTCTTTGTGCAGTGCATTCTGTATTTGTGGAAGAAAATAAAGTTCACTGAGAATACATGTAAAATATCTAGTTCAGTGGTGGACACTTAGTAAAGGGGTTAATGAATATTAATTATCACAAGCATTCAGTGGTTACCCTATATATCAACTTTCATGTACTCTTTCTAGCAATCTTTTTTCTTTTTTTACCTATTGCATCCCATACCTTCTTCTAAAACACACATGCATTATTTTCATTTTGTTGGATTATGACCACTTTTTCAGAATTCACTCCTTATTTTTCTTCTTTCTACCAGGGCAAACACTGTATCCTTGACGTATCAGGAAATGCTATCAAGCGATTACAAGTTGCCCAGCTCTATCCTATTGCCATCTTCATAAAGCCCAAGTCTCTGGAACCTCTAATGTAAGTAGAGGGCTCTGGGGTACCTCATGCAACTAACTCCCTGTTCTGTATTGCACAGCAAACTGTTAATACCTCTTTTTCACAAATAATTACAAATGGGAAATGCCATTTTGCTATTTTTTAAGGATTTTGTTTGGTTAGTTTTCAAAATGATAGGAGAGGGTCATCTTTGAGCTGCCTCTTACTTCTGAGTGCAGATTCATAGGTAAATCTTTTTAAATGTCTGCATTTTTTGTAGAGGGAGCAGGCAACATTTAGACTTTTTCCATTGGTGTTTTACATTGTCTTATAAAAGAATTCTGATGTTAGAAACTTCATATGCATAGACAAGTTTTCTTAGTGACATGACAGTAAAGGTCTATAACTTAACCAGATAATGTATGATTCAATTTTTTTCCAAAATGTGTATAAAATTCCTTCCTTCAAAAACTAGTAATCAGATTGGGCAATATTTATGCTGTAACTATAAAAAAAATCACCATAGGCAACTCCCATACAGAAGTGAAGCTTTTTGGAGGTAATGATGTCAGAGCAAAGAGAACACAGCAGGGCCTTGAACGCTGGTCAGGCTGAATTTGGTTCTTTGCTTTGTCAGTGGCCAGTTATATAACCTTGGGCAAATTACTGTATCTCCCTAAGATTTAATCTTCATCTTTAAACTAGACTTTAATAAATACCTGATAGGACTAGTGTAAAGGTTAAGCCACAAGGTCATGAATTTAAAGCTCTGTGTACAGTCTTTGGTATATACTAAGTGCTCAATAAATTTAGTAGTTATTATCAAAGATAGAAAGTTGCTGTATTATGAAAGATTAATGTAATTTTATCATAAAATGTATAAAGTATCTTTTGTAAGAATGCAAGAGATAATTCCGGTTTGTCTGTTACAAGATCTTTTGCTCAAACACTGCCTCTATTTGGGCCTCAAGAGGGTGTTGAACCACAGGGTATATACTTGAAAACAATGTTCATGGAAAAACTGAAGACACGGGGTGAAAGCAGTTATTTGCCAATGATATCAGCTAACTGTTCTGGTCTTCTCTGAGGATGAAGAGCCAAAGCACACTGCAGTAGCTAAAATGGCAAATATAAGTTAGATATATACTTGGCCTCTGGAGAAATTGCCAGGAATGCATCTGAAAAGCAGAATATAGACACATGAATAAAAGATAGACAAAGGGTTTTTACCAGGATTCGGAAATAAAATTGTGAGGTCATTGTCAGCGACGGCCAGCCCCTTGAATTTAGGTATTAAATTATGCTGAAGAACTTTAACTATAGTTGGTACTTGGAAAGGTATGTATTAAAGATTGAACAGTGGTTCTTAATATTATTTCCCTAATAACATGTGTCAAATTTCCCCTTTAGCAGGATACTGTGTTGGGCATTGCAGAGTTAAGCAACCACAGATTTCATAATCTGTAAAGAGCCTCACAAATATTTTAAGTAACACTAAAGTTAATAAGAAGAGTAGAAAAATGGCCCTCACCTCTTGAGAAAAACAACTTAAAGTTCTATTTCAGAAAAGAAAAATAAGTCTTCTCATAAACACACAATGAGATAAATGGCTTCCTAGGGAAGGAGGCCTGAGGGAGCAACAGCAGTGGCACATTGGGTTCAGCGCGATGCTGGGAGTGAGTCCCATCTGGTGCTGGGTAGGACTACTTCCTTCCACAACTATCAGATGACTTATTTAGTTTTGCCTTAGGGCACTGTCACAGCCACTTATCACCAGGGAAAATTAAACATACTGAGGGCTGGATTCCACAATGAGGACAGTGAATCTGACATAATGTGCTGCAGCCATATTCATAGGAATGAGTGCAGTGGTGATGCTGGTCAGACCAATGTGATCTCATTACTCAATGCTGAATGTTTACGGTTCACTCTTTTCTGAGGCTTTTACTTCAGGAGCAAAGCTAGCATGAATTGCCCATTGCCCAGAAAGGAGTGAGTGCCAGGTCAGCCAGAACAAAAACATGGCAGCTGTCACATTTAGGCATTGATACATCATCACACACATTATTTCTCAAGTGCATCATCCGCATCAAACCACAGAACTTATTAGCACATACATAGCTGACTTCAGCAGAGATAAAATCAAGGGCATGTATGAAAGAGATGTTCTTTTTATATCATACTGCCATAATTTGTGCCCCTACCACAAAGCAATGAGATGCTTTCCCAGGTCTTATCAATCACCCTGCCACCTCCAATCTCCTATTCCTGTCTTGCCCCCATGATGTCCTGTGTTTACTTCTGCCTATATCTATGCCATAATTATGTTTACCGGTCACCATTTATTCATTCATTCACTTATCCATTCAACAAATAAGTACTGAATCAGGGTTGATTCCACATGCTAACAAACAAAGAACTTGCAGTTTAGACAGAGACAAAATTAATTCATATATTAGAGGACAGTGATATAAATTAAGCTGTTACCTAAATAAATTCAAATCAGATTCAGAAAGAAAGAAAAAAAAAGAAAAGACTACCACAGACCAAGCAAGTTAAAGAAGATCCAGAGCTACATGACTTGTTTACTGGGAAAAAGCATACCCCATTTGAATCAAATGTATGATATATGATATGTCAAGATCATTGTAATGTTTTGAGCAACCAATAAAAAAATAAAATAAAATCAGAGTTGAGAACCCTCAAAAAAAAAAAAAAAAAAAAAAAAGAAAAATCACCTTCTTTCTCTAAAGAGTATCCCTTGGTTTAGTCTAACATCTTCTGCACTCCAGAGTGACATATCCAGCTTCTGGAGTACAGACATTTTGGAACAAAATAAGTTTACTTCAGCAACAAGAATTCAGGAAATTTCTGCTTTACATTTTAGCCTTCAGATATGTCTAAAACCATATTAATATCTAACTTCAGGGTTTTTTTTATTTTACACATCGGCCTCTTTTGAAAGATATCAAGTCTGTTTGAGATGTAAAGTCTGTTTGACTATAATTTAAAAAAATAAAGCTTAAGTTCGTACTGCAAATTGTTCTTTATTAAATGCACAACCTTGGAGGAGTGCCAGGACTGCTTCAAGTCTTCTTAGCTCATACTACAAAAAGGATTCACTAAGACCAGGAGTTCTAGACCTGGCTCTCTGTCTTCCTAAGTGGCGTGCAAGGCAGTGATGCTTTCAAAAATTGTACACGCATCTGGGGAAATGGCTTTGCATTTGACTGGACTTTTTAATGCCTGGAGGACATTCTAAGAAAAGCTACCACTGATTAGGAATCAGCGAATTAGATTTTAGAGAAAAGTAGAGAATCTCCCACTTCTAACCTTGACTTGTCCTTGAGACTATATTAGGTTTAATAGTCTTACAATTATTAAGCAACATTTGCATACAGTTAATGATAAGTCCGTTGTTGGCAAACAGAAAGAAAAAGATAGGTAATCCTAGGCATAATTCCTTTATAGCCCATTCTGCCAGAACGGAAATAAAGTAGGCCTCAAAGTTTCTTCTCATTATTTTGTTTGAAAAATATTTTAATTGGCACATAGTAATTGTACATATTTATGGTGCAATATTTCAACACATGAAGACGATGTGCAATGATCAGATTAGGGTAATAGGCATATCTATCACCACACACATCATTTCTTTGTGTTAATAATGTGAAACATTTAAAATCCTCTCTGCTATTTTGAAATAGTCAATTAATTGTTGTCAACCACATTTATCCTACTGTGCTACAGAACACTAGAAGTTATTCCTTATATCCAACTGTACCTTGTACCCATTAATCATACTACAGATTCTATTATACCAAGTTCCTCTATCCTATCCTCTATTTGACTAAATTACTTGATTATAATCTATTTGAAAATATTTTGGTCCTAGGACTTTTGACTTGTTCCCTTCTGTGTCTATTTCAATTCATAAAAACAGGACATTCAGGGCTCTTATTGCTATAGACATAACTTGACATTTGCAGAAATTGAGTAGTGAGAGCTGCAGACACCCTTTTGCCCTGAGAGATACAGATACCTATGGGGTCTTCCCTATTTTCTATAATTCTTTGGAAGTATCATGTTTCTCACTCCACATTTTCGAATGAACAGCAGCCCTTAAGGGGGATGTAGAAGGCAAGAAATCAAAGCCTTTTGGAAAGTCGGGACCCAAGAACAATCAAATTGATTTCTCTCAGTGGTGAGGAGGGCCAGAGGCAAAAACACATTTTTCTGCCCTCCACCTCTCCCAACTCTGACCACCCTTGAAAAAGTTCCTTTCATTCTATGTCCCACATTTTAGAAAGACTGAGGTATACTGGAGCGAAGGCCAACAAAGTGTGACCAGGGAAGTTTGGGTTTAAAAATCATATCCAATGAGGGTCTAGATGAAGTAGGACAGTATACTCTGAAGGAAGATGAGGAAGCCTCAAGAGACCAATGAGCACTTTATTTAAATCCTCTAAAACCTGACAAGGAGAAAATTTAACCCCAGGATAGAGGACTTCAGGATACAGAAGAGCAACCAGTGACCGCAAAGCCTTCTACCTCAGGACTCCACTTCAGTCTTTTGCAGGGCCAAAAGACTTCCCTCCAGAGAGTGGATCCTTGGCCAGGAGCCCTTGTGGCTGAAATGAGTCCAGCAAAGAGGAGTGTCAGAGGAAGTCTAGGAAGCTACTGCTAAGATTGAACTATGCTTTCTGTAGGCTTCTTTCTTGCCATACATTTTAATTTTTGGAAACTTGGTTTATTCTCTTTGTGTCCTAATTTCAAACCCTCATTTACCAGGGAGATGAATAAGCGTCTGACAGAGGAGCAAGCCAAGAAAACCTATGATCGAGCAATTAAGCTAGAACAAGAATTTGGAGAATATTTTACAGGTAAGTTCCCCTCATCCTGGTACTATAAGGAAGGAGATAAATTGTCTGACATTTTGCATAGAGAGGGTTCCAGGCCTGGTGAACCTGGGCCCTAAAACCATCCTGTTGAGCATCTCTAATAACTAATTTATACATAGAAAGGCACTCTCTGCTTCACCCATTTGATTCAGGATTCTGGGTTCTCCCTCCTCTGAGATCACCAGCAGCCAGCTCCCAGCTTCCCCCCGGCCCTAACCAAAACCTTGAGTGGCAGATGCCCCTGAACTATCTCCTCCTATTAAGGAGACTTGAGGCATTGATAACCTCATTAAACTATCTTCCTAATGGCATCTGAAATTTGGGGGAAAAAAACTCTTGGGACAAAACTGGGCAGGGGCCAAACTGGGCAGTGTCCAAAGCAGTCATTCTCGAGAAGCAGTCTCAGAGTCCTTCATTCTCTGCCCTCATGACCTGTGGCTCTGTCTCCCCATCAGCAGCACTTGAACAACATGCTCAAAACCCTGCCCTGTGTTTTAGCTAATTCTGTGTCAAGTCTCAGTGCAAAACTTTTTTTCTTCTTCTTAATTATTTCTTTGGAAACATGGAGTTTGGGAATAGAGGAAGAATTTCTTCTTCTGGATATCCTTAGTTCTCTATTCTTATGTACTTTCATGAAACACTGATTAAACCCAGACAGTAATCAAACTGCAATTGGCCTAACAAGTAATTCTCAGCGGTTTAAAAACAAGAATTTTCCTCCTCAATTACATGGTATGGGATTAGATGTTTTATTTTATTTTATTTTATTTGTCTTATTCAGAATGTGGAAAGTGCCAGTGGCACAGCAGTTTGCAAATATTTTTGATTGCATAATATTAAGTAAAGTTTCTGTCAGTAACTAAACTGTAAGTCATGTTTCTTCCTGAAAGAACATCCAAATAGGGAAATCAAGTCAAGCAATGTACATTCTGATCATTGGTTTATATTCAGGAATAAAATATTGTAATTACTAAGTTCTGAGGGTTGTTTTTGAAGACTGAAGTCATATTTCAGTACCATTTTATATTTAAGCCCCAGTGTCATATGGATAGTTCAGATGTTTTGGAGATCTAAATAGAAAATAGTTTTTGTTCAAAGGACATAATAAAATGTGCTTAAAACTGCTCTGAGTGACTTGATGTTTTAGGTAATTCATAGTTTTAGCAGTATATGTTTCCTCTTGTGTGTTTCTTGTAAATAGTGGCCTTAACTGGTAAACATCTCATTTTATCAGATTAATCAGAGAATAAATGGGGTTTCCTGTTAAGTATTTTGAGGGCCAGAGAAGTTAACTACAGTTCCTCCCATACCCTTATTATTTCCTCTGTGTCTAAAATGCCTGGATTTCTGTCTCTGCCAAAGTAAGTAAAATAGAGAGACTCTAAGGCCAGCAGCTCTCCTTGCTAAACAGGGAGCTCTCAATCTGAAAATTGATCAATATCTCAATTCAGTGGCTAGCTCAGAGTAGGCATCCATAAAATATCTGTTAAATAAATGAATGATTCACTGTCCAGACCTACAAACAGAGATGCTGCCGGTGCGAAAACTCTGATGCATTGAATACATGCATTGAAAGCATTTTATAAATCATTAATGGACCCTGCTTATGTTAATCTTCTGCTTTGTCTTACTTGTGAAAAGTGACCTTTAAGCTTCCTGCTGACTTGTCTGTCACTGATATGAGTTTCTGTTGTTTAAGTAATGATTGGTCTTCACCACCAGGGGCTGATTTCTAACTTTGGGCATGTTTACTTTTGTTACAGCTATTGTCCAAGGAGACACCTTAGAAGATATATATAACCAATGCAAGCTTGTAATTGAAGAGCAATCTGGGCCTTTCATCTGGATTCCCTCAAAGGAAAAGTTATAAATTAGCTACTGCGCCTCTGATGACAGAAGAGCATTTAGAAGAACAAAATATATATAATATACTACTTGGAGGCTTTTATGTTTTTGTTGCATTTATGTTTTTGCAGTCAATGTGAATTCTTATGAATGTACAACACAAACTGTGTGAAGCCATGAAGGAAACGGAGGGGCCAAAGGGTGGGACAGAAAGGACACTGCAGAATGCAGGAAGGCTTTGGTTTGCTCAAAGTACCAGGTGTAGGGATGAACCTCTGACAGGCTTTCTGCCCAAGAGATGGGCAGCCTCCTCACCCCAGCAGATGTCCAGAGCTGATTTAGCTGCTGAGCTCTTTGTGTTTTTTTGCTTTAAAGAAAAGTTGCCAGCACTTGAACCTCACCAATCTTCCCATTTCCCACATCTGTAATTGGTATTCTTCGAGTTTTATAACTATGCACATCCTTTGATTTCTTAACAAGCAAAGGAAATAAAGAAGGAATAAAAGAAAGGAGTCCCTCTGGAGACGACATACTATCAGGGAAGGATAATTGTATAGTTTTCTTGACTGGCATCTGCAAAGACAAGCATTTCATAAAATTCACAAGTGTATGGAGGACTAACCTTATGAGAGGAGGGGATTCCACCTGGGATTAGCTTTATGATTGTTGATTGTCTATTTTGCCATTTATAAACTGAAAGAAGGCACTACAGATGAGAATAATTTATACAATAAAATATATTAAATGTATAGAAACGAATTTCTATAGGTTAAAAAAGTTTTGTGAAATATTTTGTAAAGACTAATTAATTGAAAGACTAAATGTATGCATTATCAGCAGATGATCAAATTCAAGAACTGGAAGTTGCACTCTCCCTTTTGTTGCCAATGATCCATTAAGAGCATCTGAGTTCCTTCCAAGTCTGACTTCTCCCTCACTTACCTCCCATGATCTCCCTTGCACACTAGTGATACACTCTTATGGAGCACATCCCTTAATGAGTTGCCCTTATGGATATTTTTAGAAGATATTTGGTTAATATACTTTTTAACTGATGGCTTTTCAGAGGAAAAACTCAAGCAAATGATCTAAAGGGAATTCTTGCTTTTCTCTAGTTAAATAACCTGGGCCCACCATGCAAATAGTTGAATAACTTTGTTCCTAGTTACTTGCTTACTTGGTTACTTAAAGGACCATTTAATATTCTGGCCAGCCATGAGTAATTAGAATTATTCTTTTTTTTGTTGTTGCACAGAGTAATTTAGAGTTTTGTAACAGCCAGAGTTGGTGTTAGAACCATGGGGAGATCTGTCCCAATATGCACTATTTCTTTGAGGAAGAGAGAAGTAAGTGTCTGGTTGGAGGGGTGAGGGGTTCAGGCTTTTTTGTTTCAGTATATAGGACAAAGAGAACCACAAGGAAAGACAATTATGACTTTGAGCTCAACCAATTGAACTGCCTTCCTTGGGGATGCACCTGGACCAAGTTTATTTTTTAATAATTATAATGATGATTTTAAAAAAGAAACCTCCCAAAGCCTATAAACTGAAACAGAAGAGTTTGTTTCCCACTTTAGAGCTGATGGTGACATCAGCGTTGGTTTTGCCTAAGGTATTTAGAGAGAGACTTTTCAGTGATATTAATAACCACTCAACTCTGGGTTCTGTGCATGCCCAGATTAAGCCCCATCGCCTTATTTCTGGGGTACATCAAGACCTGGCAGGGATTCTGCCACACTGTGCAGCAAACCAGCATGTAGGCTGGGGTGGGAGAGCAAAAGATAGAGTCATCAGAGTGATGGGGCTTCTTCACAGTAAGAACACTGGAGCTCAAAAATGAGAGTCTCTTTCCAAAAACAAGGGTTGTTCATCTTACACTAAATGCCATTGTCTGCCAGGCTGCAGTCACCAAAACAAACACAAAAATGCAAAATTATGCATCTACCTATAGAGGCTGCCTTTGCCAATGGAAGGGCTAGCAATGCATTTTCCCTCTGTTGAAAGTTAAATTTCCAGAGACATCCTTAGAGTGCTCAAAATGTTAAAGATGTGTTCATATCTGCAACTCTCCAGTTTCAGGTCAAGGCCAACTTTCATCATTATTGCTCCCAAAAGTTTTCTGCCACCAGAATGCCATTCCTGATCCCAGCTCTATTTTTAGGCCACCATGATAACTTCTTTGGTTTCTCAACTGAGCATGCAACCATTTATTTAGAGGACTGTCATTAATGAGTAGATGTTTTCTTGGGTCGTGTGATGTGCTTTCCATTTAATAGTATTGCTGTGGCTGAGTACAATCAAATTGAACCACCAACCCTTGGTTTTGTAGTAATATATTTATTTTCCTAGTGTAGATGCTTCCAGATTAGAATTGGCATTTGCACTGATTTTTTATGTAGATTTATATAAATATAGATATACATATATATTTGCTTGAAAAATCACCAAGCGAATTGGTGAGAGGGTCTTTTCCTATAGAATTTACACCTCCATTTGTTGTGTTGTCTTGCGCTTCCCAATGTTGAGGTCTCTATGGCTCCAATGAACTGGTGTATTTTGCAGCAAATCTAATGACTTGAATGGAAATGAAATGAAAGGTACCCAGATTACATCTGGTGCAAATGCACTTGGAGCCTGGGGCCAGACTGGTGCTAACATTGCAAACTTTGTCCGGAGCTCTCTCCAATCTGAAGGCTTGCTGGGGGCGCAATGTCACCTTCATATGCTGGGCCCTTTCAGAAAAGTGCCAGATCGTGTCACTGGTGCTATTTTTCATGCTCTGGTACAATGTGTAGCACCACGGGGGTCTCAGCTCTACCAAAATCAAAATCCCATTTGTCAGCCAATTGCTGGGGCATTTGGTTTTTTTGCTTTCCTCCTGCAGGATTTCTTGGCCATTTATTTTCAGGCCTTTCTCCCAGCCCCAAATTCTTGGATTGGCTCTATCTGCTTAGCAAGCCCATCTTTACAAAGCTGCACTCGGGTGCCTCTGTGAGCTGTCTTAGATCCTACTGCCAGCCCTTCTGGACGCTGAGCCAAGGGAAAGCTTTCTGCATCTCTGGTTCTTGCTTTTTATTTTCCCTTTCCTCATTCTTTCCCAGTGCTCACCTCTTCCTATCTCATCCCATCCCTCTTTGTTTTTTCCTGGCTTCTTGAAGCCACTGATCTTGTCCTATAACCCTCCTTCACTCCCTCCCTGTTCTTTGTCCACCTCTCCTTTAGTCTCTCTCTCAATGCCCTTTTTATACCTTTCCTGTCCTCTCCTCTCATCACATCTCTGATCAACTCTTCTCCTACACCCTCTTCCTTAATTTTTCTGTCCTATAAAGGGCTTATGGCTGCTTCAGATAGCAAGTCCATACACTGGACTAATGACACATATACTTGGGGTCACCATTTTTCCTACTCAGCCCAGAAAGCAAAGCTGAGTGTGAGGCCCTGACCTGGAGCCAACTCCAGCGTGCCTCCCAGAGCCAGCCTGCACCGCTGCCCTGGCAGCGATGATGCATGTGCTGTGGGCCCTGCCAGCGCCTGGGTACCTCTGCCTGAACCCTAGTCCTACACGAGCTCACTCCCAAGACCACCCCGAGTCTCTGAGGACACTTCCTTTCAGTAAAGGCAGACTCTGGCCCCAACAATTATTCTGACAGCAAACCTCTTCCTTCTCATTGAAGCCATGTCATCGCCTTGGTTTGGAGAGAGATGATTTTTTCCTCCTACTTTCTTTTTCCCATTTTCATGTGAAGCCCCCTCTGCTTTTCAGCTGGTGATTGCTCCGGTGAGATTGAATGGACTTGCTGGTAAAATGACAACTTTTTCTTTCCTGTCTTGGTCCTGCCTAAAATTCCTACCAAAAAAAAAAAAAAAATTAAGCCAAGGACTCAGGCTAGTTCTTAAATTTATCATACGAATTTGTCACTTCTAGGGAAAAAAAAAAAAAGGATCAACTCCCTTAAAGCATGTGGAGTAGCTCCTGTGACAACCAATTTTCCAGGAGACTCCCTACAGAACTCTGTGGATATACCTTTTACTTATGTGTATGTATGGTCTATGTGATATGCATATCATGTATACACATATTACATTAGGTATGAATGAATGTGGTTGGAAACTCACACACACACTCCAGTCTGTAAATATCCTTCCTCACTGAAACCTGTGCTTTGGAAATCATTTCTTGTACAGCTGTGCAGTTTCTTGTAGCAGCTGAGGACAACCTAAGACAGGAGGACAGTTTAGACAAAATGAGCTAAAAGAGTAGAGTACAGTATCTCCCTAGCAATTCCTGAGAACAGACAAACCAAGTGGGAAGGTTGACTCCCAATGGATGGCAAACTTTTCTTCTCTCCCTTTTGAATTTGTGTTTTCTAAGTGTGTCTTAACTTTTGAGTGCACCAGGTTGTACCTGTTAGATCCTTTGAATATGACAATTTTGTGCTTCTCTCTGACAGGATGTTTCTCCACTGAGCTGTAGTACAGGAGGGGAGGGAGGGGGGATTACTCCTTGCCTGGGCTGGAGTTTACAGAGACACTGCACAGCTTACACTCCTGTTAAGTGTAAATATTCAACACTTCCATTCCATTTGTGTAAAAAATAAAGCACACACGATTATAAAATCAAGATGTATATTTCATACTCAGTGTGTCCGTGGATATTTATTGCGTTTCCCGTGTCAGTGGTGGCCCCGTTGTAAAAATGCTTGATAGTGTTTATAAACATGTCATGGTTTTATTATAAGATATAAATATTAAAACATTTTATACTTTATAGAAAATTATATTCTCCCAAAGCATAATTTGTCTTATTTCATAAAGAATAGAATCATCTTTATTTTTATCAAATTTGTCTAATTTCAGAGCTAAAGTGCACTTAGGGTAGGTTTGCTCTGAGAAACATGGGCAGTGCAAATAGGAATTGACACAGTGCTTTTGTATATTTTTAAATATTTGCCTGCTTGTAGTCAGGATTTTTTGCCAAAAATGAATGGTATTTTAAAAGATAGGCTTTTAAAGGCACATCTTTTGGGGGGAAAGAATTTCCCAATGACAGAATTCCAGAAAATATTAAGAATAAAGAAAAAAATATATTTTTACCTGATAATTATGATACAAAGAGTGGCACAATTTGGGGATGCAGTGTCATTAATCTATACACATTGGGGCCACAAAACATACTAGCTCCAAAGATCTGAACATATTTTTAAAAATGTCAAATTTGGGAATCTGGATCTTCCAGATTCCTAAATTTTTCTCAGGTTAAACATGCTATCTTGTACTGACATTTAGCCAACACAGGTCTGATAGCTGGAGAACCAAAGCGAATTCCTCCCATGCAAGGGGTGAAATGTCATCAAAAATCAAACCTGCCACTCAGGAAGCCAGAATGGTTGGTCATGCCATCCCAGCCATCACTGAGAGCTATTGGCCTGACGACTGATGCCAGTCCTGGTACTTGGTGGTAAAGACCCTCAGTTTAAGATACTGACCGAAGCTGCAAGACCAATGCAGACCTCAGGTTTCAACGATTATAAAATTTTTAGCACTTGCAATATCACTTTGTTTAATATTAATGGTGACACTACAAAAAAAAAAGCCATATTCACTTCAATAGCATGTGTTTATTCAGAAGGAAAGAAAACTTTAGAAGAGCATTTGACTTTTCCTTGTGTCCTATTTCATTTCTATGTAACTATTTTTAAACCTGATGATTCTAGAAGTCTCAGAAGCTAGAAGTGACCTATACATCTCCAACCTAAAAGGGCCCAGCTATGAAGCTTTCTCTGTGGAGACACTGTGAGACCAAATATTTAGCAACAGAACTTAAAAGCCCCACCATGGCACAAAGCTAAGGGACATTTGTAGAGGGAGCCAACACGAGCTTTCTTTACACAACCACGCCTGGCGTCTTGCAGGTTGTCTAGGGAGAATGTTTTCTATGGACCAGGACTGCTGGGCCTCATATCCCCAATTTTTGTTTTCTGTGACTCAGCTGTCTCATGGGGACACCTCAAAAGGCAACACCACTGTCATCAAACTGGTTCCTTTCTCTTCTAGTATTATGGCCAAAGTGTCAAGTCCAGATCTTGTTCCTTATTTCCCTTAGCTCAAATGGGACAAAGCTGAAACAGTTGTCAAACTTTGCTAAAGGGAATTAAAAGATAATCTCATTTACGATATGAGCTTAGAGCCCAGTTCCTGGGTGGCTGCCATGAGACAAAGGTCATCTTTCTCCCACCACCAGGGGTCCCTCCAATGCGGCTAGAGCAGATGTTAAACCTTCAGTTTCCACAACTGACTCAGCAGCTGATATACCCACAGTGTATCAGCTGTGGGTTGAGGGACCCTGCTGACTCCATCCTCTTTGTTCCCATATAGTAAAATACCCATTGAGGTGATTCGTGATGATTGATCTGATGGCTCTTTCACTGTAGACTTCAAAGGACAAATGATTTTCAGCATGCTTCACAACTGAAAACTGACACATCAGTAAGACACCACTGGTCAAATTTTCAAAGCCAAAAACTTAGGCCCTAAAGGAACTGGACACTTCTAAAGGAAATGCAAATGGCCAAGAACCATATGAAATGTTCAACATCCTTAGCCATCACGGAAATGCAAATCAAAACTACATTGAGATTCTGTCTCACTCCAGTTAGAATGGTAATTATCAGGAATACAAATAACCATAAGTGCTTATGAGGATATGGGACAGGGTAGGGGAAAATAACTCTTATGCACTATTGGAGGGAGTGTAAATTAGTACAGCCACTTTGGAAATCAGTGTGGAGGTTCAAAAAACTAAAAATTAACAAATGATCCAATTATACACCTCCTTGATCTACCAAGAGAATTAAAATCAGCATACTTTAGAGATACGTGCTGTTTTAGTGAGCTTTTTCACTGCTGTGACTAAAAGACCTGACCAGGACAAATGCAGAGGAGGAAAAGTTGTTTGGGGGCTCAGTTTTAGAGGTCTCAGTCCACAGACAGCCGGCTCCATTCCTCTGGGCTCAGGGTGAGGCTAAAGATCATGGTGGAAGAGTGTAGTAGAGGAAAGTGGCTCAGGGTATTACAATCAGGAAGCAGAGAGAGATTCCACTGGCCAGATACAAAATATATACTCTAAAGGCACACACCCCCCCAATTCCCACCTCCTCTGCCACACCCTACCAGCCTACAGTGCCACTCAATTAATCCCATTAGGAAGTAATTCACTGATTGGGTTAAGGCTCTTATAACCTGATCATTTCATCTCTGAATGTTCTTGCATTGTGTCACACATAAGCTTTTGGGGGACACATCACATCCAAGCCATCACACGCACCAATCTGTAAAATTATGATGTATGGCAAAGAGGGACACAGTTCTCTCCCACTTCCTTTCAAGTCCTGTCTTCCTGGTTCTGGTTCTGGTTCTATCTTGTTTGGATGATTGGTCAGGTAACACCTGTTCTTCAAGTCTTTGAAAGGATGACCTATATGAACATTGCAGTGGAGAAGCTAAACTTACCATGAGATAAAAACACATAAAACAGGCATCATTCTGGCAAAATAAAATGGTCTCTACTTACTTCCCTCTGAAGGGAAAGGGGAAGAAAAGCATTTTCAGGTGGACATTCCAATTTTTAAATTCCTTATGACTCAAAAAAGCAAATTACAATCCACAGATCCTTAGTAATGGAGTTAGTCCATCAGAAAGGACAGATGATTTCTATTCAACAAAAATGTGAAACAAACAAGTTGAAAGGTTGGCTCCTAATTGGATTGTTTGGTTTTCATGAGCCACACCTGTCTTTGATGCCCTTTGAAATCTTCACACAGAAATATTGCATTTCACCATGCTCCTTCATCTGGCAGTTCTGGAATGAGTAACCCCTGCATTGAAGAATTCTCTCCCCCCTGGGCTTTCCAAACCAGGTTCTTATAATATTATTTACACTAATTTACTTTCAACCACCACATCTGGCTTCAGTCCTTTTCCCTAACAATCTGTGTTTTGATTACCTGAAATTCTTCCGAGTTTAAAGGAAAGTGTCACGTATTAAACTGGAGTCAAATAACCGACTAAAATTTAAGTTTTTAAGCCAACAGTCACACAAAGAAAGGCTAGGCATTGCTTAATGAAAACTGCCACACAGGAAAATGTTTCCAAAGAAGCTAGAATTTTCTCTTATTTGGTAATCATTCCTTACACTTTTGGTCAGCCAACAATAAACACTTGCCCGCAGCCTGGCTCTATTTAGATGCCAGAGTAAAAATAAATAAATGCACAAAGCACAGTCTGTTTTCTCAAGGAATGTGAGCTTCCTGGCAAAGAATTAAAAGGGGGGAAAGGGTAATTAAAATGCAGGAGCTCTAAAACAAACCTGTTAGTGCATAAGGACTCTGGAAGAGTGACCTTGACACCTGAGTCAGGCAAGAACCTCTCCTCTGATTGCCTTCATTGCTCAGACCTTAGGAAGAAATTTTATGGCAAAATTGAATATCTTCCCTGGTGTTCCTGTCAATCCCATGATATCTCATCCACAACCAATCTCATTGGCCACCTGACTGGCCTATTATATAGACAGTTTTCGTTTTGGTTGGTTTGGCTTGGTTTGCGTTTTCTTCATTGTCAGGTTTTTTTCATTTTTTGTTTTTATTTTGGTTTGGTTGTCTTGCCTGGGTGGCATGAAGATGACAGACTGGCTTTCCAGGTAAACAAAAAGGGCAGAACATGAGGTATGGGTTGGACATGAAATATGGGGAGATTAGTGGTTCATCGTCTCTAACAGGCAGCAAGAATTATCAGGAAGCAAGAAGCAACTTGAACAGTTGGCCATGATGTAGGATAATCCATGCACTTATAAGAAAGTCTGGAGAGATGAGAGTCTGTTTTCTTTGCAATACATTGACTTGTTTGATTCATAAAAAAATATCTGGCTGAAAGAAAAATGTTGTGGAAGAATTCAAGCCTCTTCCTGGTAGGCCCTTTGTCCACATTTAACCAGTCTGTGGTCAAGCACTATGGGATTCTGCCTGACTCTGGGCAGAGACCCCTTGGATGAACCAACTCCAGGCTCCTATGTCACATGTGTGGCCACCAGGACCACCAAGTTGTTTCACCCCTGTGCCCAC